ATTACCTTTACCTATGTGGTTATAATTATATATTGTACATACACATACAGTATAACCACGAGATATTTGAGGTAGTAGAGTAGACTTTTTTTAGTTTAACACATTTATTGACAAAACAGTTTGCCTATTCTGAGTAATTCAGTCAGGTCTTGACACTGAGGGTGGTATAACTTCTCACTGCCAAGAAAGACAGAGGTTCATACACAAAGAAATACATCATATTCATTAACAGTCTATATAGGTCAGATTCATGTGGGTGATGTCACTGTTTACTGCCACGCAGGACAAAGCCGACAGTATGTTGCGTAAAAGTAGTAGTGGGCAGAAAAACGGATGTACAGTATGTCACGTTAAGTTGCGAAGCCTCACAGTGACTGGCTTTGTGAAGTTTGAGTTGCATCATGTATTGTACTGTGCCTCTCATGTGTGTCGTCTCACACCACTGTTGACGTCATGAAGGGCGCTGTTCTCACCGTAAACTGGTAATCAGCTTACGGTGAGAACAGCGCCCTTCAATTACATGTATAATTAATTGGATTACGAGAGTGACGTGGGAAAAATGTCGTCCCAGGGTCTATTTACTTTTTATTCAATCAATATGAAGTTGAATTGATATGGTATTATTGATGATCCTTCTTGAGAAGCTCCTGGATTAATTACTCGTATATCCAAAAGAATAATAAATGACAGGTTTTATACGTCAGCCAGCGAGACAGGAGGCAACAAGTTGCCTAAAAAAACCGTTCATCTGATTAAGCATTTGCTTTACGTGTTTCAGAGCCCGTTAGTACTTTATGCTTTTGTTAAGTTTCAGTTACTTGATATAATAGTTGACATTGAAATTTTTTATGTAATTATCAAGGAAGAAAAATTACCAACAAATCGTGTATCTTGCCTTGGCGGTTACCACTCTAGATGCCAAGTATTGAAGCTATTCACCCAACGTTAACTTATTCACACAAAAAATACCCCACAATAGAGGTAGATACGACATACACACACGATTCCCCCAAAACGCATTAAGTGTGAGGTAGTGAGTAGTCCTGCCACCCGGAGCATAATAGCTCCGGGTGGCAGGACTACTCACTACCTCACACTTATGGCGATAACCTTGGCGTCACCCAAGCTGTGTCATCATGCCACTACACACTACACTACCGCCTTCCTTCCCTATACCTGACCCTTTGTTAAATCACCTGTATGTCTGGGAATATACTGTCACTTGTGTGGTTTTACACTTTGTCTCTTGCCAGATTACAAACACGGGTTGGAGCATGAGAGTGCTCCCAGTAGTGTTGTACCTCAATAACTGCCTCGCTGTATGAGTTTATCATATTCTCGTCACAGACTGGCTGATGGAGTTTTGTGGCCTCGTATTTAACATTCGCACATATGGTCAGAACAGAGATAGAAGGTGACTTGCACACACACACACACACACACACACACACACACACACACACACACACACACACACACACACATGGTGACAGGCAATGGACTACAGAGAGCGAAAGGTAACAATAACTATACTTCAAGGGCCAAAGTTATGTAGGTCATTGTTTTTATTTAATCTCATTATATTCGTCAATAATTAGCCTCACGACGCTCTTTAAATATTAAACTTAATTTATTACACCAATAACATGTAGGAAAGTTGTCTATTGTGCAGGCAAGGTAACGAAGTGGTTTTGGGTAAGATCCGTCAAGTAGTGTTGAAAACAACTTGAGGTATTGTATTGGGCTTCCTCCCTCGGAACGGCCAGTGTGCCCACAAACCTTCAGAATAGTCTGTGCGTACAAATAGTGTAAAAGTATTTGTACAGAGGCTATAGTTAGGCGCTGGATTAAACTTGTGTGAGTACTGGGGAGGGCTGGGGAAGGCTGGTGACAATCAATAACATACTCGTAATATCCTTCTGTTGTTTTTTATCGAACTTGTCTTGACATAAGCCTCGCCGCTGGTCTGACGTTCTTTAAAAACAGCAAAATGAAAAACTTACTCACACGCAAGAGACCAGAAATAACGTATAAAGCTGAAAGGAACAACATATTGATTAATTCTACTCGCGTACCATCAGAAGAACTTAAGATTGTGTCATTGTTATTGATGCTGCCGTGTAGTGATGACTAGACTAGCCATGACTCACCCCTCCTCCTCTTTCTCTCTCTAAGGGGAGCCCAGACAGGTATGACTGAGTAAACCCTACCACTACCACCACCGCCACCTCAGTCACCACTACCACCACAACCTCGGATACTACCACCATCACCACCTATCTCTCTCAAGCTATAAATATAATAACGTCTGATGACAGCGCTAGGTTATAAGAACTATCTTTATAAATCATAGAGATAGAGGGTGTGTTGTGACTAATATAAGAAAATAAGAATGGGCCATAGTAGGTAATAGGTAATAGGCAGCTACCAAACAGGGAGGTACTACCGCCTGGGAAGATATTGGAAGCATAATGTGTTGTCTAATGGTAGACCCTGCTGCCATATGGCATCACGAAAATTGTGACCAAGTCCCAGGTTACTCATCTGACTTTGTGCCTCATTTATACACAATTGCAGGGTCTCAATTGTTTCTCTTACTATTGACAACACAACATACATATATTGTTGCTCACTTTTGATTTTTTTTCATTTTGTCTTTCTTTGTGGTTCTTTATTATTATTATTATTATTATTATATTTTCGCCCCCCAGGCCCCGATGTGGGTCAGTGACCTGTGCCCGGGTGGGCTAATTCCCGGAAAAAAAAAATAGTGGGCAAGTCCCGTTTAAACCCAACAGCTATCGCTCATATATCCGTCCAACCTATATTTAAACCTATCCAGCGTGTTAAGAGCTAATGATATTTAGTAACTTGTTCCACTCATCCACTACTCTATTTCCAAACCAATGTTTACCTATCTCGTGCCTAATTCTAAATTTATCTAATTTAAAACCATTGCTACGAGTTCGCTCCTGGTAGGATAGTTTAAGTGCCTTTATTATACCACCTTTGTTTAGCCCTGACTTCCATTTCTACACCTCGACCATATCGCCCCTCACTCGACGTCTCTGAGGGAGTGCAAATTAAGATGCTTTAATCTGTCTCTATACTCAAGGTTCCTAATGCCCGGGATTAGTCTTGTCATTCTCCTCTGAATTATTATTTAAAGCAACATACTTTGTACCTGCTTATAAGTACCAAGATAATTCCATGACTGTTTATATTAGTACAGAAGCCATTATGAGCAAAGACTTAAGTAATAGAACATACTTTACAAATTGATAAAAAAACCCACCAAACATCATTAAATTTATATAAACACATTTTCTGCACATGCTATTTGAATTAACTCTTAACTAGGAATTAATTATGAAAAATATAGGACTACAAATTAGGAGCAAGGAATTAATACCAATATAAGTGTACGTACATAGCCTACTAGTTCATTATTAAGAATAAGTAATAATAATAATTGAGCAGCTACTGTATACTATATAGCTCATAATTAAATACAGTAATATAAATACTGCTACCTGATAATTAACTAAAAATTTACATCCAATTAACTAAAAATTAAATAGAACTAATAATTAAAAAATTTACCTACACATAACTAAGAATTAACTATGAAATTACCCACAATTAACTAGGAATTAACAATAAAATTACCTACAATACACTAAGAATTAACTATAAATTTACCTATAGTTAACTACAAGTACAAACGCTAGTAAACACAATCACTTCGCCAAGCAACCAACCAAACACACAAGCCTCGAGTTCACAGTACACCTTTATTTTCGAGTAGTTGCTGCTGCTCTAAATCAATGACGACCTTGAGAGTACGTTAGGGCCAGTAGGTTGATGGGATGATGTGTTGAAGGGTCAGCATATTGATGGGGTAGTGTGTTGAAGGGCCAGCAGAATGATGGGTTAGGATACTGAAGGGCTAGTACGTTGGTGAGATAGAGCACTGAAGAGCTAGTAGGTACTGTGCCAAGTAGGTTGATGGGTAGTACTGGGGCTGGTGGGTTAAGTTAAATTTAGGTTAGGTTGAAATATAGGTTAGCCTACATTAAATTGAGGTTAAGACAAAGGTTAGCGTAAATGTGTAGGTTAGGTTGAAATATGGGTTATTTTAGGTTAAATGTACGTTAGGTTAAAGGTTGGTGAGGTTAGGTTGTTAGATTAATTCAAGTACGAGAAAAACAAGGCTGGAGAAAGATCCCAAGATGGTAGGTATGTGAATGATCGACACAGCACCATCATGTCCAGGGTTCGTGTCCCGTCAACGTACAGGTGTACCCCGGCTATAATCAACGTCAACAGAGGTACAGTGTACTCGGCGTATTAGGCCCGTCGACGGAGTTGAACTATAATTCACTGTCTTATCTAATGAATATAATCTAAAATTGGAAATTCAAGAACATGTCCATGTAATTTTTTGGCAATACTGATGCTTCTGGATACTATTGGACATGAATGTGTGCATTTAGGTGAACTGTTACTAGTTATGCATCACAGAATTGGTAAGTTTAAAGGAATTATGTATTGCAGACGTGTGTAGTGTATTTTTATTAATAGTAAACTAGAATCAGCGGATATATTTATGTTATTTTACATATTTATCGTCTGGTAGGTGTATCATTCGTTCAGTTTACGGTAAGAATGAAGTACTAAAGTTTTCTTTTATTATACAGATCAACAAAATCGATGTTGAGTAGCCCGGGTCTGGCGACCAATGACAACTCCACAAGTTGGAGGCACGCGCACCACCGCTATACTGTTACCATGTACCCTTAAACTATTAAATTTATTCAACTTGATTACCTTTAGTTACCATACTAGATCCCATATATTAGTAAAAATATATAGTATTTGACAAGTTCAGCTCGTATTCGCATTATGGTAAAGCGCACTAACTGTGAAAAATATGAGTAAATAAGGATTAGGTGGGAGGGAACCAGAGGCGGTGCGGTAGAGACTACGCACACACAGCAGTCGACAGCAAAGATAACAGTGTTGTCTGTGTGGTTGTGGTGACGGGACTTACCTACGGAAGCGTGTGGGCAACACTATGGGGCTTCTGTCAGAGGGCACGCCGCTCTCTTGGCCGCAGACCAAGCAGTACTCAGACCACGTGCGGGAACATGGCATTAAGCAGTTCATCAACCAGTACCACCAGCTCAAGGGCCGCCAGGGAGACTGTCTCAAGTGGGGTGATGAGGTAAGGAGGAGGTGCCTTGGTTTCTGATTCTCCCAGCTCTGGCACTCTTGTCTTGGTGACTCCGGCGGGTCTGGTGTGACCCATCTACCGACTACTGCCACGTTTAAACACCATGCTTGTGACCTGGTGCCTGGGTATTGACCCTGGCACCAAACTCGACCTGGTGTCTGGACCCTGGCACCAAACTTGAGTCGTGGTAGGGAACATATTTCAATCTCATAATCGTGGGCCTGTTTCCTGGAAAATATCCCAGCCAGTCACCATACTCTTGCCCTGATAGCTGGACACTGCCCGGCACTGCACTGGTGACCTAGTGCCTCAATATTTCAGGCACCACGGTACAAGAGCACGAGGTGGCGACGAGCTAAATATATGCCCCAACACGTGTGAACTTCCCTGTCGTACCTTCGCAACGTTTCTTCCCTTAAAACGTTCTTTGATTTCAGGTAACGCTACTGATTTATTGTAACGTAAAGACTAAAGCTTATTCACCTGCAGTTTCTCTGATAATTGTGAATATAACATCAGTAGTTAAGTTTCTTCACATCCAACATTCTCTGATTAGTTAATGAATCATGAAAACAGTACGTACAGCCAGTTTCATCAGCATTGTGATGGTACTGATGGATAATTATAATAGAAAACGGCGTACCGTGGTGGAGAGCATGGCAGTGTGTATAGTATGTCAAGAGTGTGAAATACTTTGTCCTTAAGACATCAGAGGTCTCCGATAGTTCAAATTGTAGATTAGAAAACGAAAGGAATCCTGTATGTGAGGTTTATGCTCGTAATAGGAGTAAATTTTTGACAATGAGGCATTATGTAAAGAAGTTTTGAGCTTTCAGAACGGGTAAACAAGTGATGGTTGCGCCATCAGTATACTGTACATAAAGGTACGACATTGTACTGCGGTGACTAGTGCTTGGCACGCGCGCAGTCTTGTACAGTAGTGAGGACTATCAAGTGATCTAGCCGGGGGCGCGAAGAAATTTGTATTTCAGTTAGATAAGGCGCTTATAGAGCTGATAACGCAGCCATAAAACTACTCTCGTACATGAATAACTTAAGTTCTGAGACAACTGGCACATACGCAACTAGGAGAATGATGAGGCACTAATGCTAAAATTGCTTAGTAATGTTGATTACAGTCCCAAATGTTAATAACACGCTAGTAAAGTACTTTAGGAAAATATTTAACCCATCATGAATGCTAATGAAGTTAAAGCTGAAGCCCGAGCTGTTACCAAAGGTGGAGTTCAGGGTCGAACTTTGAGTGGAAAATGACAACACGTAAATTAAGTTTAAAAACCTTCATTTTTAGATCAAGACAGGTTGCTTGAAAATGGGAATGAATTACACACAACAGGCATACAAAATACTGAAACCAAAGTACAGTGACTTAATGTTTAAGTCTTTGTAACAAAATTAGTATTCTGTTACAGTTAGCTATTTTTACATCTAAAGACACTTCGTTATGTAAGATTATGACCAGATGTGGTACTGAGGCTGACGATATACAATAAAATTGATATATAAACATTTGAGCTGAGAACTGAAAGAGGTAGAAGCACAAATCTATGTTTTCCTTCTTCGAATCAGGAAAATTCTGGCTAGCGAACATGGGATCCTCCTAGATGCTATGTAACACGTTATCTATTGATATCTACAAACCCGTTTTTCCCAGGTGTACATTTGTTATGACTTTCAAGCTGAAGTTGATTGGAGGGACTTAGCTTAAAATAATAATAATAATAACCGGTAATACTTGCATAGTCACGGGTGCCCGGCGTACCCAAAATCGAACATTGCTCCCACACGAAAAAAAAAAAAGAGAAGAATTTGGGTGCCAGAAGCGTCACTCGATATTTGTCTTAAAATCCGAGTGATTTGTGTATAAAATATCGATTTCAGTTGCGCTGTGATCATTTAGTTCAGACAGGGGTGGGGAGGACCTGCAAATGAGTTGGCTACGCACGTTTGATACCATCAACTATCTGAGTAATCGTTTCAGGAATGTGGCACTGAAAAAACACCATGAAGGGATTAATTTCTAAGTTTCTTTTTGAGGAGTTACACGTATGTCACTGATCAGCTGAAGAGTGCGGGCGATTTTCACAATATACTGATAATTTATTTCACTCACGTTCTATTATGTGTACAGACACGTTAGAGTCCAGGGATTCCATGCTAATGCTTTGTAACATAGAATGACACGATTGATAGGTCTGGACATCGACTGCACTGTGGTTATATGAGGCATGAGTTCTCTTTTAAGTTTGTACCTTATGGTAACTACACACTTTATAAACCAAGCAAAAATATTTTAATGTTTTGGGTATGTTTTGTAAAGTATATTATTCGCATAGCTAAACTAATAAGTTCTCGCGATAACATCAGTGGCAGTGAGTGCCACTTTACACAGCTACAATAGGACTTTGGATAGTTATGAGAAAAGGTCCAGACTTTTAACTTACAGATGTTTTAAAGTGGATAGTTATGAGAAAAGGTCCAGACTTTTAACTTACAGATGTTTTAAGAACAATAGTTGACTGTTCAAAGCACATTCTTATGCACATGGTACACCATGCGCCTGGCAGTGCGGCAATTGAGGGCGCGCCACGGTGTCTGGCAGTATCTCCGGTTGGGAGCAACACAAGGATTACAATCACCGAGTTAATCATAATGCATTGTCATGATGAAGTTTGGTCACAAGAGAAGATTCTGTAAATACTCCAACAAACTAGATTACAGGTCCAAATAAATGACATTTAAAAAGTTCTCGCTGACGAAATTGTTAACCAACACCTTGTTGAGGACAATAGATGGAGGCCGAGAGTAACCCCCCCCCCCAAAAAAAAAAATATTATGCAGTTTGTGACCATCTAAAATACAATGATAACTCTATATAACTTACGAATCCGAATTTTTTTTTTTTTTTTATATAAGCTTATATTCTGAATATACTAAGCTTGTGTCGTGTCAGTGTGAGGTACTGTACTGTGTGGGAACGTGGGTTAAATTACGTGTCGGGTGCATCAAACACTCAGTAGCGGGTCAGGCTATGTATACGTTTTCCGATATTCGGAACTTTCGATGTATGTAATAATGTATGATATCTGATTTTTCCCTTATCACACTGTCTTGTTATATGGTATTGTGTTATCGCCATAAAGGAGCCCAACATTGCATAACCAGCCCAACATATCCCACCTCAAACAATGTTATTGTTTGCTTCAGTATTACAGTAATCACCGTAACATCCTGCATTTTGTGTTCGTTACTAGGTCACCCATTTAATGAGCAAGTCAAAATTAAAAACACCTGTCAGTTTATCATTTCACCACTTATCAGCTTAGCCTACTAGCTGTTCGAGCGGTTGTCAGTTTTGTTACTTTGTCATCAACTTTAATGTCCAGTGTTGGTACAGGAGGAAACCTGCCAGGCAGTGGCGTAGCTAGAGTGTGTGCCCCGGGCGGCCCTTGAGTTTGCGCCCCCCCGTGCCCCCACAAAAAGTACATCAATTGTTGCTCCACGAGCAATCCTAATTTCCAACTCCTTCCATTTTGTGAAATTCCGAACGTGAGCTGCACTGGATTCGTGCTCGGATATTCTAGGATTCAGTTTTCACCACATGTTGAATCCATCCTCAGAATTAAACAGTTTGCAACAAAAGCAGTAAAGAGCTTCCTTGGAAGGGGAGTACACCATCCATGATCTCAACATTCTTTCACCATTTGGCAGAGTTTGAAAAAACCATTCGCGTGTTAGTTTTCTAGTTTGTCCTTTGGTTGACACACCTTCACGAATTACTTCACCAAAATTAGAATCTAGATTTTGAACCACAGTAGCCAAGTAATTTCGGGAAATCAAGAACCAAGCGGACTGTGAAGAGCTGCAGAATGACCTCTGTGGGCTCCAAGAATGGTCGAAGAAATGGCTGCTGAGAGTCAATGTCACGAAGTGTAAGAGGATGTACCTGGGGCAAAACAACGGTAAGGAGGCGTATCATATGTCCCAACGGATGAAGAAACTGCACTAGTTGAGACTGAATGTGAGAATGACCTACTATAGGTGAGTATGTTGACAATGAGCTGAAGTTCTTGGGCCATTGCGAGAAGAAGGTAAATCAGGCAAATAAATTATTGGGTCTTATAAGAAGGTCGTTCAGGTATCTAGACAGTCCGCCCCTCGTAACGATCTTCAAGAGTGAAGTGCTTCCCCGTCTGGAGTACTGCCAACCCGTCTGGTCTCTTAGATATGCTAGGGACTGTCAGTTGGTTAAAAATGTTCAAAGGAGGGCCACCAGACTGGTGCCTGCACTTCGGCACCTCAGTTACCCTGAGAGATTGGAGCGCCTGAACTTGCCGAGTTTATACTACAGACGGGCAAGGGGTGATCTAATTGAGGTGTATGAGCATCTCAAGTGGCACTAGTCAGCCGAGTGTCTTTACTTGGAGCTGGCGGACGCTCGCTCCTCAAGGGGTCACAGCTCAAGATTGAGGTAGCCGCAAGTCCTGAAAACTGTGAGGGCAAACTTTTTCGGAGTGAGGGTTGTAAACTCTTGGAAAACACTACCAGAGAGTGTTGTGACGGCACCGAGTGTGAGCTCTTACAAGACAAGACGTGACCAACACTGGAGCCGGTGCATGCCCAGTAATTGCCAACAGTGCGTGAGAGACGTGACAGGTCGCCCGGGCGAAAACGAGCCGATCAGTGGTGAAGAGGATAAAAGTAAAAGTAAGTGCAGGCTCCAGTCTGGTGGCCCTCCTTTGAACATTTTCAACCTCCCTGGCTGGACACGTACTGGCATGGCTGACGGAGGAACGTCAACGAGCAGGTCGTTTAATACATCGACGAATCGGGTGGTGAATACAGCAGACACAGCAATGTAGCCCAGGGTACTGCTGGGGGACTGTTGACGGATTTGGAGGTGTCTAGCAGCAGTGAATGTGAAGAACAAGAGCCGTTTAAAGTTGTTAATAGCAAAAAGAAGAATAGAA